TAAATAATAAAAAACATAAAGCACATGTACATACGTTGAAATGACGGAATTTTTTTATAAATACTGTAAATGGGAGATGGTGACATAACCACAAAACAACGTACGTCGAGTCTGACGTAACCAGAGGACTGCCTGTATATTGTTTTATTTCCTAAACTGGAGAGTAGGTACATGGATGATAGCTCTATGCTTATTCATACCTTTTTTACAATATACATATTCATACCTTTTTACAATATACATATTATAAAAAGGTCCCCTTGGACTGATTGGGCCTTTGTGACTGTCTTAACAAACAGGCAGTCACTTCCCTTAAAAAAATGTTTATATATGTATAGACATATGTATCCATATATAAAATGTTTACATGTATGAACATTTAAAAAAGAAAATGGAGTTTTAGTCTGAGGAAAAGAAGAGCTTAAGAACTGACTTAAAGTCTTCATTTGTATGAAGGAACTTCTTGAGAAGGGGCTAGCTGGTTGTTCTCTAGAACCAGGATGGTTAAGTATGGAAGAATGGGTTTTAATTAAAATAGAAGAAATTTAAGATGGTCATAGGGAGAACTGCCCGGAAACCCTACTTCTTGAACACTGGAGTGTGCTGTCAATAGAAGTGTGCAGATTTCCTTCCTTGGTGTGATCAAAGCACCAGAAAGCATGTGTCCTCTCTCTGGGGGAACTGGATGTGTCTTGGCTAGTCTCATTGCCTATGGAGAGGGGCACATAGGATAGTGAGAGAGGATGGAGACATTTGGCTTTCAGGGAAAGAAAACTCTAATTCCTCTTTTCCCTCGACTTCATCCACAAGGAAGAAAAGAGCTGCTCTGATTTAGCTCAACAATACGTAGCAACACACAGTGGTAGGGCATGGTGTGTATCCTTCTTGGACTGTCTCCTCAGGAATTCTTTCTTTCTTCTGCAGGCTGCTTCTATTATAGACTTGTGAAGGCCCAGGGTGCTGGCTCTAGGAAATGGAAGCAGACTCTCTTTCTTGAGAAGTTCTTGCTTCCATGAGGGTAGAGACAAGATACATTTCTCTGATATCCCTGCTGCTCTGCATTTTGCATTTGCTATTCTTTGTCTTCCTCCTAGGAGGTGTCTGGAAAGGGGGAAAGGATTTACTGAATGACCCATTGTCATTTGGATTCTAAGGCTATTAATAAGTACTGATCACGTGCCACTTTTATCCTTTGGGAATATACAGTATATCTCTAAAAGACACCAAAGATAGGATTTAGCCCTGGTTGGTTTGGCTCAGTGGATAGAGCGTCAGCTTGTGGACTGAAGGGTCCCGGGTTTGATTCCAGTCAAGGGCACATGCTCGGGTTGGGGGCTTAAGGCATCTGATCAATGACTCTCTCTCATCATTGATGTGTCTATCTCTCTCTCCCTCTCCCTTTCTCTCTGAAATAAATATATCCTATCTAATAAAAGAGTAATATGCAAATGAACCATCACTCCAACACAAAGATGGTGGTGCCCAGTTCTCTCAGACCCGCTGGAGTCCTCCAGTCCCGGGGGGCAGCCGCTGAGAGCAGGCCCTGCTTGGGCGTAGCCTCAGCAACCTGGGAGCGGCCAAGCAGGCCCTGCAGACCACACACAGCAGGGCCTGCTTGGCCATTGCCCGCGGTGACCCGGGAGCGGCCCAGCGGGCCCCGCAGACAGCAGAGAACCATGGGGAGCAGGCCTAAGCTGTCAGTAGAATATCCCCTGAGGGCTCCTGGATTGGAAAGGGTGCAGGTTGGGCTGAGGGAGCAACCGCCCCCCCACCCCCTGTGCACGAATTTCATGCACCGGGCCTCTAGTTATATATATATCTATATATCTCTATATCTATAAATATATATATCTATATATCTATATCTATCTGTCGTAGATAGATAGATATAGATATATAGATATATATATAGATATAGATAGGATTTAGGTCTGAATTCTGTGGTCAAATGCCATGCTAATCTTTCTAACTTCTGAAGGTCAGGGGAATTACCCATGGCAATCAACGAGATACCACAAGTGCAAGTGCGACATCCATCTACCACTTGTGGCATCTATGTTGTGCTCTTCAAGGTGTGCAACTGAACTATCTTAACACGCTATGAAGTTGTCAGGACAGTTTTGGTTATTAGAAGATAAATATGAAAACAGAAGCAACAACCCATTTCATGACGGGGTTGCAATAAATCAGGGCAGGACACTGCATCAGTCTGTGGTGAAAGGCAAACATTCTACATTTAACCTATTTAGGTTCTTTCCTAAAAATTAAAAATAACCTCTATGTACATTTTCTGTTCCCATCTAGTTTTAGAAACATTTTTTTTCAATCTACCTTAAAATTGGGGTTACACTCAAGTCCCTTTCAGTTCTGCTTAGGTCCTGAAAGAGTTATCATTGGTAAGAAAATTTACTGGCTCATTAGTGACAAAGTTTTTGACAAACTCCCTGCTAGGAGTAACTCGCTGTAAGGTCACCCTCAGCACCTATGAAGACCCACTGAGAAAACATCTCCCACCCTGAAGCTCAGCTCAACAATTTAGAATAATTTCTTTTTCCTCAACTCCCGGCTAAAGACTGATTTCTTATCAGAAACATTTTTTTTTGAGGGCCCAGAATAGACAGGCAAGGAATCCTACTTGAAGCTATAATGCCAGCCCATAGTTCACAAAGCAAGTTGTCGCTCCCTACTGCATTTCCCCCAAGGAAGTCCCGGGGAGAGGAGGCTGGCAGGGAGGAGTTGGGGGACACAGGGCTCTGTCTTCCCAGCACTGATCTTTGTGCTCAACTCCGTTCTTCTCCTTGTCAGTCCCTGAAGTTGATGTTAAGCGAAGCAGAATGATCACAGCAGTAAATGCAGGGTCAGACTCTCACACAAATCTTCTTTTTCACTCTGAGGTCAGAATTTTCTTCAGAAATTAAGAAGATTCAGGTGTGTGTCCCCCCTCCCCCACCCTCCCCCCCTTTAATGGAACTGTGCTCAGAAGGAGGAAGCACAGTTTGAACATTAATGGACAGGTAAAAACAAAAATAGATCAAGTGACCTTGGACAAGTCACTTCACCTTTCAATGATTTTGCTTCTTTGCAAGAAGGTGTGAGTGTGAGTGTGTCCGGTGTGTGTGTGGGGGTGGTGGTAAGTGCTTCCTAGGGTTTTTACAGCTTTAACATGCCACTAGTTAGAATTCTAGACAGGCTGTGGGGGCTGCGGGTGAGGAGTCTGGAGACACCTGAGAAATAGTATCCCCGTGAAGAACCTGCACAGGTCCCACCAAACTGGACATGGAAGAACAGAAACTGCGAAAAGAAGGGAGGTTATGAGTTCCCAGCTGTTACTCACAGGAGACACAGGCACCCTATGAGAAGTGACAGGCCAGATGGAAAAGCGCCCCCTAACCCGCTGATCCGTACCCCACCCTCAACCATCCCACCGCATCGCCTCCCCACCACCTGAAGCCCGCAGTCTTGCGCACCATCGCAGATTCCTCCTGAGCCACTTTCCAGAGAATCCCAGCCCCGCTCCTTCTCCCGCCGCCTCCCCGCCGGGGCC